CATGTAAAAAAATTTGTTGCATGCATGGAGTAGACCATTCTAAGGACTAAAGCAACTCTTGAATAGTAATTTGCAGAAACTACTTAGATACTTAGGAAAGTAATGATAAAGTCTAATATTGAGTTCGACTTGCCTGTTAATATCCCGAAAGCCTTTACAACTTGATCTTGGCTAACGCCACCCCCTAAGTCCAGAAAGTTGGCTGCTTTCCCACCATGAAGATGGATCAAGTCCATTGTGGCCATGGCCAGCCCAGCGCCATTTACTACCGACCCGATTCTGCCTTGGCCAGGCAGACCGATGTAACTGAGCCCAGCATGTGCGGCAATTGCCTCTAGCCGCGTTGGATGGCTGGCTGGCAAACCAGCCAATTCAGTGGCATTTTCCTCGGCTGACATTTGGCTAATTTCAGGCTGTCGCAGTAATACAGCGCTAGAGTCAAAGGCCAGCTTTGCGTCAAAACAGACCACTTGACCGTCAGGCGTCTCACCAAAAGGATTCACCTCCACCTATGAATCATTTACATGGTTCGGTATCAAATCAACCAAGCATCATTTGAGGTGAAATATTATAAGTCAGAGAAATAAATTACAGCAGAAAAAATATGGAATCAGTAATAAGGAAAATTAGGCGTTTCAAATGCGGAAACACTTCAATATGTTTTACAGATGGAAGATGGCCTTATATCAGGCATAATACAATAAGTTCAAAAAAAGATGGAGTATACATGCAAGAGACCACAAAGCTTAGATAACAAAGGCAGCGCTGAATTAAAAATTATTTTTCTATCTGAAGATCATTACCTTAGATACATCATGAATGATCGCTGATTAGAAGACCGATGATTAAAACTGGAAAGTAAGGAGGATTAGTTAAAAGAATATAATACTCAAGAAGGAAAATCAGTCGCCAGAATATGATTAACCAGTTATTCGATGGACTAAATCTGAATAGTGCGCCATAGGGGCCTACATTCGGAGACTTGGTGGACAAAATTATTGGGAGAATTTATTTATGAAAAGCACAACTTAACTTCAGGGCAATGATTATAAGAACCTTGCTTAAGTATAATGAAAATACGATCTAAACCGAAGAAGAGATACACGAGGTAAGTAAAAATGTATCAACAATATCGGAAGCATGTGATAGCTGAAAAGCTAAGTTATTTAGAAGTGGGTTGACCTCGTTGTCGCAACTTGGTCTTGTGTTCAGGGA